TTTTACATCAATAATATTGCACAGAAAAATGGCAAGCCATATTTACGGAACAACCTGATTTCCCAAATCTGTTCAAAGTAGTTTCACTTTTGCTGTCCGTTCCGGCCACTTCAGCATGTACAGAAAGAGTATTCTCTGTTATGAACGCAAAGTGACGGGACGATAGGAATAAAGCTTCATTAAAGCTAATTAAAAATGAACTTTTAGTTTACTTAAATCTTTATTTGCCATGTTTAGAGGGTATTAATGTATTTAAGAACGACAGCAATTTGTTACTGGCTGCTAGGTGTAACAAAAAATATGCTTTTAAAAACAAAAAATAAAATACTTTATTTTTATGCTGAGTACTTTTTTTTTTTGAACTATTTAGTCGAGAAAGCCTGAAAAGGTGGCAACCCTAGCAGGGACGTATATTGTTACTATAACAATTTAACCCCTTTGGGCTCGGAACCATAAAAAGCGATAAAATTGGAAACTGCTCAAATTGTCGTCAGGTTTTGGCATTATCAATTATTTAATCGATACACATGATACAATTGTTTAAACGCTTTAAACGCTTGTCTGATTCAGTTTTAATCACTATTGCGTTAATTTTTTATACATGTGTATTTAATAATTCGCATACAGGAAAACGCTTTTTAACAGTCGCAAGTTCGTCATTTATTGTAGGTATGTTATATTTATGTTTGGAGCTATAAAATTGTTTCTTACTGATGTGAGTGAGAATAGAAACAATTAGTAAATAAAAATGCTAGATATATAACACAAGCACGACTTCTTATCGCAAATTACAATAGAAAATTAAATTAAATTACCCATTATGTGCCATGTCACCTTTCAACGACAAAAAAAACAAAATAGAAATGCAACTCACCTTTTACTCGATATGAAACAGCGGTATTTCTTATTCGTTTTTTATCCACGCACATGATACACACATTGCCACTGTTCACTGCAGGAAGTTTTACAAACACTAATTAATGTCGCGGCACACAAGAACACCTTACGTTAATTCATTTTCCTGTAAATAGTCCGTCACGGCATGTTTAACCGATGATTTATATCTAATATTAAACTGGCATCTGTCAAAACTGAATCGAGAAGTGATTACTGGGCATGAGCCGCATGGGCAACTAGATTATCTAGAGGACGTTTTTTCATTGATAATAGAAATGCTCTAGTAAAACTCCTTATTAAAGCTAATTCGATAAAGTTAGATCCCAAAACCGTATACCATTAGAATTAGGCAAATATAGTCCCCAAAGTAACGAAAATTGCTAGTTAAATAAGATAGAGAATAGGATAGTAGGATAGAGGAAAATAAAACTAAATTATTGAGAGGATATTTTTTGACTGATGATAGAAATATTCTCATTCAGTAAAAGTAAAAAAGGTAAAAGAAGATTCCAATTAAGTAAAGTAATTTGGTCCCAGAAGTAGCGAAAATTCCTAGATATATGTTATGATCTCACCGAGATAGAGGAGAATAAAACTAGATTATCTAAAAGACGTTTTTTCATTAATAATAGAAAAGTTTCTCGTAAAAATCCTTAAAGTTGGTTCAGTAAATGTAGATCTCATACCTGTAAAATAAAGCAATTTTTGTCTCTGAAGTCCCGAAAATTTTTGGACAAATACAATCTAACCAAGATAGGTGAAAATAATACCTGTATGCTTATTTGGACTAATAAAAGGAAGATTTTGTTGAGATCACCACCTTTTGTTTAAACAAAACAAGAACACAATTTTTAATTAAAAAAGGCGCATGCAGCCTTCTCTTTTAACTTTCCCCTGGAAAAATAGCAAGATAAATGGATAGGATCACTTTTATAAACCGTGAAATCTTCCACAAAAAGGTCCTAGTAAAGTAATCTAGTTTAAGCAATAGCAGCGTTTAAAAATTCGACGCTTAAATCGAAACCATGCCTAATCTAAAATCACGAAAGTTATGAAAGGAAAGAAAGATTTTCGTCGGTAATTTTCTTTTGTGAATGGCTATATTAACTCTTCGCTCTTTTTATTTAACTATTGATCATAACTTTTAATATTTCTAATTTAAAAACGTTAATTTCTTCTTTATCTGTAGCTATTTTCTTTCTAGGGCATTTTTATTTTGTATAATTTGTTGGTAAAATCAAAATCGACGAGAGCATAAGCAATATAGAACACGTGTTCCTCTCTTCTGTATTTTAGCATCTCCATATTTTTTTAGTTTTTTAATAAGAAATAACAAAAATTACTTTTTGATGAATATTTAATTAATGTCAATACTTTTGTCTTCTTTTCCAGAAACCCTTCCAGATGCTTTATCAACCGGTTGTACAAAATGTAATTTGAAACAGAAACAAACTGCAGAAAAAGTTATCAGGCATCTAATGAAGAATCGGCCGTCTGACTGGGAGAGACTTACTGCAAAATACGATCCCAAAGGAGAATACAAAAAGCGCTTCCAGGCTCAGGTGAAAGACGTAAAAAACTGAATGATCAAAATATCCTACCTAAGTAACTATTGTATTAAGGCGTATATCATAAGTGCAAACAAATAAGTTTTATAATAAAACTTCGAGTTTATTGTTATAATTAATAGATTCCGTAGCTCAACAAAATAACTGAATGTCAATTTTGTAATTGCTTACAACGTTATATGGATTTGTATTTAAATAAAACTTAAAATCCTGTGAAATGTTGTTTTTTATTCATGATTTTTGAGTCTGTCTTGCAGGCGAAATATCAATTTATTTTAAAACTAAGATTAATTATACAATCAATTTATTTGATGGAAACCCGTACCACATTAATAGAATTGATCTTCATAAATTATTAGCAATGAGCAAAGAACAAGACTGTCCCAGTTTTGCTATTGCTCCTGGTCTTACTCAAATACTTCTAGTCTTGGTCTTGATCTCGTGTGCTAAGTCGTAGTCTTACTCATTTAATCGGATACGTTTTTTTCTAACAATTCTTCTATTTATTGACACAATAATTGTTTTAAATGCTGAAATTTTTCTGTCATACTTGCGACCTTATCATGACTTTTAAAGAGAGTAGTTTGGGGAGGGGGTCCGAATTTGTGTGAATTTACCTACCTTATAAAGAAGTTCTGTTTGGGCGTAAATTAAATTTAATAAAAAGAAGTCACTTCTATGCTCGCGAACGGTTAATTTAGAAATTTGAAAAAGGTTGTTAAAGGTGTATGTTTGGAGCACGGCATTGTACGGGTGCGAAACATGGACAGTGGGCGCGGCGGAAAAAAAAAGGTTACAAGCGTTCGAAATGTGGTGTTATAGGCGGATGATGAGGATATCGTGAGAAAGAATAGGAGAACAGCGGACTCCATGGAAGTCAATAAAAAATAGGCGAGATAGGTTGGTAGGACACCTTCTTAGGCATGAAGGTCTAGTCAGAGACATATTAGAGGCAGAAACAGGAGTTAGGAGGGGTAGAGGTAGACCTAGATTAGATTACTGTTATAGTTTTAGGAAAATGCGAAGTTTAGCTCAGGATAGGAAAGAGTGTAGGTACGTGTCCAACCAGTCTTAGGACTGACGACCTTATGATGATGATGATGAATAATAACATAAATGTACGGAATGTGATAATAAATAAATAAAAAATAATAGTATATAATAACAATGAACCGAGGTCTGTATCTGTATAATTCTAAAACAAAAATTTAGAACAATATGTATTATTACTCCTGGATCCTTTGAATTTTTTGACCATATTTGAAACATATAAATGACCATTCTGCTGATACCAAAAATGTAAACGCCGAAAAATATTCTATTTTACTTGTTCTTTCCAGTTTTAAAGAAATAGAATTGTCAGTAGGCCAGTACGTAGCTCTTTAAACAGATTGCTTACAATGAAAGCGACAGTTATAGTTATAATTCATATTATTGGCGAGAAACGAGTAGATAGAAATGTCCAAAAATTTCGCTTTATTGGAAAATTAATACAGCATACTCGAAATAGTTTAACTCTTCAAACATTCTCCAAATGTCTAGATAATCTTATTTGCAAACCGTTCGAATTAGGACAATTTTAGATGTTTTGCATCTATAGTTTGGAAATTAGATGGGCACATTTTGATTACAACTTTGAAAGCATACATGTATATCTGACGACTGAAGGGTTAAAATTAAAAAGTCCAAAACATCTGTTCATATACATCTTAGGAGATCTTTCTAAAGGTATGTAGGAAATTACGACAAAACCGAACTTGGTCCAGGCTTCACCCAGGACTGTTCAATTCTAGAACGAGATTGGCAACCAATATTGGACCAAGTATGACAAATGCCTGGTTTGTCACTTCGAGCCAAGCCAGGTTGGCAAGCTTGGTCCATGACTCGACAATCAATTCTGAACAACGACTTGGTAAACAATAGTAACCCAAGATTAAGCAGTCAGAATTGGGTCAAGACTTAATAAACAATAATAGTCCAAAAGTGAGCCAAGAATTATGGAACAAAATTAATCCAAGATTTGGTAACTGCGTCGCATTCCATCTCGGTCAATACTTCTTTGCCTAATATTGGATATGGCTTGGCAAAAGCGTTTATATACCTAGCATTGATACACTATGATCCAGTATTGGTAAACCCATACTTGGCTGCCCAATACTGGACCAAACTTGACGAGATGTTAATGTACCTAGCCTTGATATTTGAAGATTGTCCTATAAACTATGGACCAATATTGACAAGCCTATGTTTGACTTCCCACTACTGGTCCAGGTTTGGGCCTGTCGTCAAGTCGGACAATTCCTACTTGGGATTCCATTCAACGAAATACTATCTAAAAAATAGATTTTTAGTACACTATTCGCTACCAAAAGCTTCTTCTCCTTTCCTAATTACCCTAATTATCTACCTAACAACGATTCTAAAACAAATTTTAATTACAACTTGTAAGGACGTAACTAGGGTTGCCACCCGTACTTTATTATAAAGTATTGTACGTTGTTTAGGGTAATTGTACTCTATACTTTATGTGACAAATAAAGTACACGAAAATACTTTATTTCAGATGATTTGATTTCTCTGAGATTTTAAGATATAATATACAAAAAAAGGCGGTTGTAAGCATTTTCTACGTAAAATATGACAGAGTTACTGAGATAAATAGCTTAATTTTAATGACACAAACTGATTATTTACACTTAGAAATTTAAATTTAAAAAGTATTGTTAAATTTGATAATTTTGTGAAAATAGTCGAAAATTTGAATCTGCAAAAACTTAGTGTAAATATGGATTATTTTTACGGAGAACTTTCTTTATTAAAAAAATATATAATCAGATATATAGTTCTAATGGTTTTGCGGGGTTATCTACTGCAGAAAAATAGCAGCAGGTATTTCATAAGACTGATGATAATTACTCATTTGTTTATTACTTTAAACTTTCATTTTTACTGTCGATTCCCGCCATATCTGCATTTACANNNTTAGGGAAATGCGAAGTTTAGTTCAGGATAGGAAAGAGTGGTGGTACGTGTCCAACCAGTCTTAGGACTGACGACCTTGCGATGATGATGATGAAGCAAAATGATAGAGTAAAATAAATTGTACTCTATTTTGACACAGCGTACTTTTTTTTCTACCTTTAATAACCAATGTCCTTTATTTATATAAAAAAAAGTGGCAACCCTAGACGTAACTGCGAAATTAAATTAATATTTTTAAAAAAATAAAAAAACTTGTACGCATATAAAATGACATTCAGTCTGTTTTGAGGTATCCTCACAAAATTCCATTATTTACATGAATATGTCAATGATGACATTATTATACAAAATGTCAATTATGACAAAATCATAAATGGATTCTTTAGAATTTTATCAAAATTTACAGTAGATATTGTATATGTATTAAACATCCAATAGAATGTCTTCAGTTACGCGTTTAAAACCATTAAAAACTATACTAAGTGCTTCAAAACAGTTTATCAACCAGTACGTCTCAAAAGCCAGTATACACTTTACATGTTCCTGTTCTAAACGATTTCAGCCGGAACCCCATGACAAATTTTTCTTAGAACCAAAGTGTAAAGTTGCACTGATAACAGGTGCCGAAGGAATTGGTTTTGCATGTGCCCATCAGCTATTACAAAACGGAGCTCGTGGTGTTGTTATTTTGGGCGTTGATCCAATAAAAGGTAAGGAGGCTGCACTTTCCCTAAACTGTTCCTTCGGGAAAGGCCGATCCATTTTTATAAATTCCAACGTCAACTGTATGGTTCAGTTCGAAGAAGCATTCAGGGAAGCAAAACGGGAATATGGTGGTCTAGATATAGTAATAAATGCGGCGGGAATAATCGACGGGCATCAATGGGAACGTGAAGTAGTAACGAATTTAATTGGAACCATAAGAGGAACACTTCTGGCATACAAATATATCAGTCGTGCAAATTTTGGTGGGGGAGGTGTTATAATAAATATGTCGGGAGTAACTGGACTGGAACCCCTTTCGTCTGCACCTACCCTATCAGCAGAACACCATGCTATCGTGGGCCTTTCGAGGAGTTTCGGGCATGAAATGCACAATAAGAAAACGGGCGTCAGAGTGATCTGCTTGTGTCCCGGCTTTACAAAAACTTCGTTCATTAAACGAGTTAAAGAGAAATCAATGTGTGTCGAATACGGACTTGCACTTGAAAAAGAAATAGCAAGTGCTGCAAAGCAAAACCCTGATGCCATAGGGAAAGCTGCGGTTCATGTAATACGACATGCAGAGTCTGGATCGGTGTGGGTTGTGGAAGGATCCAAATTATACCAAACAGAAATACCACAGAGAACCAGTTATATGAAACTAGCTGCACAATATTACTAAAATATAGTATTTCTGTAATTGTAACACTTCGTCAACTCTCTTGAACTTTTCAAACTGTTTCGGTATGTTAAAAGTACAAATAAAGTTTGTATAATAATTTAATATAAAAACAACGTTATCAAGAACAATACTAAATGTAAACTACAAATTTCAAGATTAATCTAATGGTAAGGTAAGGTGCTTTCCATAGGCATTAAAGGACATTATCAAAAAAGAGATTTATATTAACAAAAAATTCATTTACAATAACAATTTTCATTCAAATTTTAATCCATACACCCCTTAGAGTTCAGACAACCCACATATCAACATTATCATACAAAATATTCATTCACTGCTTGTATATGTTACTCTAGTCTAAGAACACTTATGAATTAATGAAAACTTAAAATTCATTTCCATAATACTGATCTATATACAATAGACTATTCATTAAATAATAAGGAATATAATTTATTAGCATACTGGTATTTAATACACAACTTTCAAGTAACTGAACAACTGGCCCATTAGCTCAGTTGGTTAGAGCGTCGTGCTAATAACGCGAAGGTCGTGGGTTCGATCCCCCCATGGGCCATAACTCTTTTTTTTTCCTTGTGCTATATATATAAACAAGAATATAAATTTACAAGGTAATTGTTTATTTTCCATAATTCCCATATTTTTGTACTAATTGAACCCAAATAGCCGGATAATTCCTCTGAACAAAGGTAGCTATCCTTGCGGCAAAAGCGGATTCTCGAGCGTTACAGGACTCGCAATTTTTTCCAATAACATTTGGAAGGGCCTCTGAAAATAGGAAAAAACTCTTGAATTACAAATCCAAACAATACAATAAAAACTAGCAAAAACTAAATTGTATTTTTCATGTAAGGATGGTAACACTTACGTAACTACCGTTACAAGTTAATGCTATAAAACTTTATTTTATTATTATATTTTTACAAACAGGTAAATAAAGGATCTTCGAAGTCATCAGTTTTACAAAAATAAAAAATAAAATAACTTCATTGCGACAATCGGATAAAAGAGGTATAACACACTGAGTAAAGCGACTTTTAATTCGGAAAAATATGTAAATCGATAATGATTTTATACAGGATGTCCCGTAGATGGTGATTAACCTTTCAATTGTGTATAAACGCCTTCAATGCCTCCCGAAGAACTGAATTTATTATATAGTAAAAATCCCTTGAGTCCACTGAATAATTTGGGCTTTTTTCAACTACAATGAATACCACCTCTAATCAATTTTTTAAGCGACGTGCCTACAAAAATAAAAGACTTTTGTAAAATGTAGGAACAACTACTGTAATTTTTAAAATTTAAGAAAAAGAAATCTTAAATTTTAAAACCACAATCCAATTCTAAAGAATATGTACAAAGCAGAATATTTTATAATAAAAAAGCACACAGTAAGTACTCCTCAATAGGTGTACTCTCTAAGCTGTAAGGGTTTAAGGATATGTAAAAAGTTCTCCGTTTGTGGAAGTGAAGTGACAAATTCTGTTTATCAATAAGTACGAGACACATTTACTTAATACATTTCATTTTCTGGATATATTTAATATCCCTTGTAACTGTAATACATACTCCAAGATTAGTCGTTATTTCTGGACATCTTGCATACATTGAATGTTTTTTCTCATACGGAAAGTAGTAATACAGATATAAAGCAGAGGATAGCGCAGGGTCAAGTCGCCTTCAATAAAAAGAAGTCACTTCTATGCTTGCGAACGGTTAATTTAGAGATTCAAAAAAGGTTGTTAAAGGTGTATGTTTGGAGCACGGTGCTATACGGGTGCGAAACATGGACAGTGGGTGCGGCGGAAAGAAAAGGTTAGAAGCGTTCGAAATGTGGTGTTGCAGCCGAATGATGAGGATACCGTGGATAGAGAAGGTTAGAAATGAAGAGGTATTAGGAAGAGTTAGAAAACAGAGGACTCTAAGTCAATAAGAAAGAGGTGAGATAGATTGGTAGGACACAGGCATGAAGGTCTAGTCAGATATATATTAGAAGCAGAAACGGAAGTTAGGATGGATAGAGGTAGACCTAGATTAGATCACTGTTCGCAAATAGTTAAGGATATGGGTTGTTCTAGTCTTACGGAAATGCGAAGATTAGCTCAGGATAGGAAAGAGTGGAGGTGCGTGTCCAACCAGTCTTAGGACTGACGACCTTATGATGATGATTGTAGTGTTCAATACCCTCTCTTAATTCGTACCTATCTATTTGTGAAATTAATGACTTCAATAATATTTAGTAGTAAAAATACTCAAGCCTGAAAAAGCCAATATTTGGCGAAACATACCAATATTGCATTTTTAAATAATAATGAAATTCTCCATTGTGTATTATTTTCATTGACATCCATCATAATGCATACGATTGGAAAGTCGAATTTGAGTCACAAAAGTAATCAGATTCTTGGTCCCCTTTGTGGGTTTTTAATTTTATTCTTGAATTACACAGGAAGCATTGCAAAATTGTCTAAACGTCCTTGTATGTTCTTTTTGGTGAAATTACTTTTATATTTCTCTAATCGACAAGTTCTCGGACTTTTTTCATAAACCTTGGCGTAACTAGCGTTAAAAATTACAATCCTTTGTCTTTTGTTTCTTTTTCTTTTTCAATTATGTGTCAACTTGCATTCAGATACCTAATTGATATCATTTTTTTACAAGCGTGCCTTTCTATTTTTTTTTTTTTTGGAAATGAACAGTATTAGCGCTTTAATTTTGTTATTCCACTTATTTCAAGAAGTCCAAAAAAAAAGAAGAAACTACAGATATCTAATAGTTAATCTCCTAAAGCAAAACAATCAATAAATAGTCGTAGAATTAAGACACACTTTCACTTACTCTAGGTGATATTTAAGAAGAAACTTTCTAATGTATTGAACCTGCAAATCGAATCTCGTGGGGAAGTAAATAATATAATCTTTTTTTTCTTAATTTATATTTAATGTTTTTTCCAATTAGATAACTGATTCGATCCTTAACCCTTGATTATTCACATTGTACACTTACCTTTCTTATAGAATAATATATGCATTAGTGTTTGTGTAGTTATTATAAGTATATCTAACTATTAAATTATATTATTGGTACTGAAAGCATCAGTTCATTATCCTTTAATTATATTATTGATCGGCTGCTAATACCAATATACTATTTATTTTCATGATGGTCCTGCCAGCACGTTTAATTCTAATTAATCTCTTAATTTTAGCTTTCTGCTTAATTATTCGATACATAAACAATTTGTTACACCTACTTCAAGACTTATTTTCGCGACAAATACCTACCAAAAATTCAACAAAAAATGATATTGTTATATATCTAACAAATATATCAAGTTTAGAAAACTTTTCAGTATATCTAATGAATTAAGTGAAAATTTTCTATCAGTAATAATAGTATGTTGATATATATATATGCGTGTGTACGTAATTTTAATTATTTGAAAAAGAAAATGCTAAATAACAAACGGATTATTACGTATATAATAAATTTTTGTTTCTTTTTTTATTCTTATCTATACATCTATACATATTGAGTGCTAAAAAAACATCACATNGTAAAAAATTGAAAATTAATTTTCATATTATTATAAATAAAATGTTAGTTAACCGATGACCTAAGCTGCTTTTTTTAATTGTTTATTGATTATAATAACTATATATATTTATTAAGAACAATTAGAAATAGTTTTACACAGACCTAGTCGCGGGTCAAAGCTACGAATAAATAAAATGTAATAATGTTAGTGACAATTATTTTTAGCGAACCAAGTAAGATAAATATTATTAGTATTAGTTAATGTAAATGTTTCTATTATTTACGTACGTTTAATCTGTTGCCCAAGAAAGTCACAGGGTCCTCTGTCCAGAGCGCACATCAATTGTTTCTCAACATATTCAGAATTTGTTAACTGAAATTGACAATGGGTCACTGATAAGAAACTGGCGACAACAATTGCAATAATAACCGTGCTGCACCTCATTATTACTTGCAATGTTACTGTACTAAACGTAGCCTGTGGCTAATCCTGGCTTTTATACGATTTTCCTTTCACGGATTGTGGCTTTTAACATTGTATATATACACTAAGTACTTTGTTTGACCAATTATTAATTTTCTTTTCACTACGAATTTATGCGCAAATAGAAACCAAAAAACAGGAAAACCGATGTAGTTACATAAAACAAATATCTTACATAAATTAAAATAAATTTGCATAAATAACTGTGATAAAAAAACAGCGAATTAAAAAAAAATTTTTTCTATGCTTGCGAACGGTTAATTTAGAAANTTCGTCCGTCTCATCTTTCTCACCCGAACCACCACCCACCCATTCCCACGATTCCTGAAAGCAGGCTGAAGAGAGCCTTCCGCCCTACCTTCCGGCATAGTCCGGAGGGACTGCCCGCCCACCAGCATTACTGACTGGTGGGAATGAAACACCCAAAAGTTTTTTTTTCTTTTGTTTAATTACTCCTGATCCCTTCGGCTTTCTGGGCCAAGTAGGAAAATGACCTTGTCGCTGGTAAAAAATGTAAACACCGGAAAAGTGTCTAAATATTTAACTGTTATTTTCGCAGCTATAAAATTTTAGTTGGCACTTTTGTAGGATATAACAATTTAGATTCATTCAATCAACAAATTATTTAAATAGTTACATGTAGTAATTGTGAAAACGTAAAAAGTAAACAATGTGCAAATTTTTCACACATTTCGGGGCTGGGGGGAGGGGTTAGAACCTCCAAAACCCTCCCCTGCGTTTGCGTCTAGTAATGTTATAAGAGGATGTTAAAAATACCTTGGGTAGAAAAGGTTACAAATCAGGAGGTATTAGAAAGAAAAGGAGATGAGAGGACATTAGGGGAGATGGTTTGTTCTGTTTTCGAGCATCGCCGTTCGTTGGTTATTTATTACAAGTTCTCGTTTCGGGCGTCATTAGTTTTGGTTATTAGGTAATTATGTTGAGGTACTTTAAAACAGTTTTATTACTAGAAATTATGAATATCTACTATACGCATCACACATTTAACATTCCTTCACACTTTATCCAGGTTTAGAACTTGCATTTGTTCCATTATAGACAGGTATCCAACCGACACATCAGTCTTACGACTGGTTGGACACGCACCTCCACTCTTTCCTATCCTGAACGAATCTTCGCATTTCCCTAAAACTAGAACATCCCACATCCTTAACTATTTGCAAACAGTAATCTAATCTAAGTTTAATTCTACTCCTCTTAACTCCTGTTTCTGTCTATAATATGTCCCTAACTAGACTTTGATGCCTGAGGTGTCCTACCAACTTATCTCGTCTATTTTTTTTTGACTTAGACCTAGATTCGATTACTGTTCGCGTATAGTTGGAGATGCTGGTTGCTGCAGTTTTCGAAAAATTTGAAGATTGACTTAAGATTGGGCTTGTGTAGTTTACAAACCAACTGGTTCGGCAGAGCGATCCTATGTGTAAAGAACAAGAACTAATTCGCAGCCGGAAATTTATCGGCAGTATTGATTGTTTTACCGACAGTCCACTATTTTGGTCTTCTTACTCAACTAAACTGCCCAATTCTACTCAAAATAGGAAGAAGTGTGTCTAACCAGTCTTTATTTCGTATTGTTTTTGAGAAACGCATTCTCTCGACTTTTTCAAAATTGGTTTCCACGAAAAAGACTTTTATATTAATGTGTAATATACAGCCTATATCCACCCTAAAGGTCGATTCTAAATATTGGTGAATGAAAATTTGATGTGAGATTAATAGTTTCGACGATTATCTCTTGCATCCAAATTTAATATACGAGGGTGGATTGATAAGTTTCCGGCCTAACCAAGAGATGACGCCACTAGGCCTACCTTGAGGTGACATTCTATAGTACCATCCTTGGATAGCTTGTAGCTATAGTTTCAGCCCGATCTCCTTGCTAGTGTAGGTTTGACAGCACGCTGAACAAGACGCCTCTGTGGTTTTCGTAAAAATGGAAAAGC